ATTAAGTGTTTTTTATACAACTAAATATACAGTATATTAAAAAAAAATTACAAAAATTCTTATATCAAATATTTATTATTAAATTAACAAATAAAAATTATATAAAACAAAATAATTATAAAATATGTTTTAAGATATACAGTGTGGAGCAAAAATAATTATATTTTAATTCTAGCCATATAAATTATTCCGATGCATATATACTTTCTCAATAAACACATCACATATAAATAAGTCACTCGTTTGCATGTGACTTGTGATCGTAAACCCGGAGTTTTTTAAATCGGTATTTTAATCGGGCTATGAAATATAGGCTTAGTCATTTTTATACTCTCTGATTTCGTCTCTATAGTATGCATTCTTATTACGGACTGGTATTGAGAGGCTCCGTCGTTGACTATGACCTAGAAAAAATATATCAAGATTAATAGAGATAGACAAAAATCTGAAATCTGCACGGTTTACCATCTGCTTACCTGAATTGTGTTTAAGACCTGGTAGCACTGCAAAATAGTTCCCCACGACGTGAAACTCCTCGGGAGCTCGAATTCTCCAATTAAAATCATGCGACAAATCCTAAGAGACATGTTGAGTTGCTCATCGGCGAGGTAAAACCGCAAAAAACAAAGGATAGTGTGAGTGTCCTCGACCATATTATTTCTCGTGAACGAAGATTGCTCGTTGTCGATCCTGCAACAAAGTGAGAATGGGTTCATTTTAAGCAGGAAAATTTTATTGCAGTTTTCACAAAACATACAAATCCCTGAATATCTCTATCAATATTTCTTCTTCTTCAGTTGTGGTCTCAAAATCTCGTAAGTAGCGCCTTGCAACTATCTGACGTTCTCTGCGATTTGGCCTCTCACACGCGATCTGAAAACATCAATAGACTCACATGGTTAGAACTGTTATTAAAAAATACTGTACAATGGTTTAAATGCACTACCTTAACAATATTTGCAAACAAATCACAAATCTTATCCGGGATTAATGCGTATGGATAAAGTTTTCGAAACTCGACAAAAAGCTCTTCCCACAGTTCGTCATCAATATATTCGCACAGTCCGTGGGGGCCTTCTTCATGAAAAACAAACACATGGCTTAAGGCCCTGTAAAAAAAGAGAAGGCTCAGTAGTGGTATATTTACTACTAATATTACTAAATGATACTAACAGTTCCTCAATAGCACTTAAAATGACTGCTATGGATTCGCATTTTTTGACCACTGCTACACGATACTCTAGACATATCTCAGAAATGTCGATGCTTCTCACAATCCACTGTTTGGAAAGAAAAGAATATAAAACAGCATTATTAATTCATTCATATCATGCGTTATGCAATAAAAAAGCTTACACGAGTTGAATCTTTGTTCAGGTGCCATTCGGGAGCACCAGGACCAGTAAAGTAGTTCATATAGTAACTACGCTTTTCTGCCTTTATATATTCTTCGTTAATAGTACAATCAGAAGTTGAGGGAGAAGATGGAACATACAACGAAGTTGTTGTTGTTGCAGATGGGACCTCATCCGAGTCGACGGCTTTGACCTGTAAAGGCATCTGAGAAGTGAGAATACATTTTTTTAGTGAGCCGTACATTAAAAATGTAATGGTTACCTTACCTTCCGGAGTACAATCGCGTTGACAACGTTTATTTGATAAATGCTCTTCGGCTCGCCCAATTTCTTCTTGTATGGCGATGCTTTTTATTTCACGCTAACAATAACGATTAAAGAAACAGTAAATATCGTATCACATTAAATACATTAGTAATAACGATACATACTCTATATACTCGATCCAAAATAGCAAGTGATTCTAATTTCCTGAGATGATTTTTCCATAAATCATTGCGGAATCGTTCTCACAGTTCTTGATAAAATGGTGAAAGAAAAGTTAATCAAAATGTTTCATTATAGATAACCTAATTGATTGCCCACACATGCTATGATGGAGTCCGAAGACCCAGACCATAACATGCTTCCCCACTTCGGGCAACAACGTGAGTTGCCTTGTGTGATAAATCACTCAGAACATGACTGCAAGGTATGGGCAAAATGAAAAATAATAGGGCATCCAACGCATAATATAGTGGGACCTAAAAGTCCAGACTATAAAATACTTCCCACTTCGGGCAACAACGTGAGTTGCCTTGTGCAACTAATCGCTCAGAACGTGACTGCAGGGCTTGGAACGTGCCCATAATAATAAAAAAGACTGACCTCCAAGGCCTTTTTCCAAGGTGACCGCTTTAGTATAACGACGACTTCTTTTCGGCAGTTTGTTAAGGAGGATATCAAGTTCAACACCAAGGTTTCGGTGTGCTTCTTCTTTAGTGCATCCAGGATTTTCATTGACATAATGAATGTCCCAATCGCTTACAGTTCCCCCAAAGGTTTGGTTCGCGAGTCCAATATTCTAGAAAGAGAAAGGTGAAATTATCGATGATTACTCTTGTGATTATAAAAAGTTTGAACAGGGGCTCACCAGAATTTCGAAGGTTCAGCTTTCTAATTTCTTCAGCAATATCGAGAGATTTTGAAGCTTTTGTAGTTGACATATCGGACCGATAAAAAAAAAATTTTTTTAAGACGCGCGTAATTATAGTTTTTGTCACATGATATAATCATTAATCATTCGTACAGACTATAATTATACCACTACTAGTTATGGTGTCAAATATCATGTTAATTCTATTCAATCACCTTTATATGGGATTGAATTGGTATCTTGTGATCTGACTTGCAAAGTACTAATTATTGTGCTATAGATCCACAGGTTTATATTTTTTTTAATTTTTGGTTAAATTTTTTAATATTTATTTCTTTATATTTTTTTAACTATTTTTTATAAGATAATCAATCAATGACTTATAACATGTTTTTTTTTGAGAAATTTTTTAACAATACATATTATATGCTTAGTATAAAAAAAAAAGTAAAATTATTTATAATTGCAATATTATTATTTTATTAAAAATATTATTTTTTGTTTAGTATTTGATATATTTCTGAAATATAAAATAATTTATTTATAATATTTATAAAAAAAAAAAACTAGTCTTATCATAATAACAAAATCCATTCTATATAAAAATTTTTGATTACTTTTTTAATATATAGCAAAATAGTATAAACTCTTATATCAATATTATATAGTATTTCTGAATAGCTAAAAAATTGTTTTATTAGAAAATAATGTTTCTTCCAGTTGCTTTTAAAATAATTTTGTATTTATTTTTATATACTTTTTTTTTTGCATACTTATAAATATTAGAATTATAAATAACAAATATTTTTATAGTTTAAATGTTTTAAATATTTCAAAGCTATTATATAAGAAACTTCAATATTGATTTTTGTTAATTTTATAACTAATAAATATATTAACAAAATAGAATTTTAATATAAGTATTGTTCAATAACTTTAAAAACTTCTGATATAATTTTTTTGAGCTGACCATTTTGTTTTTTATATATAGTACTATACTTCCAGTTTTTTTAATTTAACAATATTATAAAATATTATTTAACAATATATTTTATAAGTATTATATATTTTGAAATTTCACAAATATTGAATAGTATAAATATATACATATATTAATTTTTTCTTAATATTTTAAAAATTATTATTTGAAAAAAAAAAATAGTAATAATACAATTGATACAAATATATAGTACTGGTTGTACACCTTTTAAAAATTCAAATTTAATTCAATTGTTTTAAAAATATTAGAACAAATAGTTTATCACAATTCCTGATTCTCTAATTTTTTTCAGATTTTGATAATTATTAGAACAAAATTTAGATAAAAAACAAATTTTAGAAATTATTTTTATAACTAATTTTTTTAACTTAAAAATTATTAAAAAATAATTCATAGATTAATAATTTATATAATCAAAAATTTCTAAAAAATTATATGTTAAAATCTAGATTATTTCATATTATTGACAAAAAATTAATTTCTAAATTTTAAGTTTGCTTAATTCAAAAAACAACTTTTTGAAATATAGTTTTTATCAATTTTACTATATAATTTATTATAAAAAATATTAAAAATTAATAGTAAAATTGATAAAAACTGTATTTCAAAAAGTTGTTTTTTATATTCAGCAAACTTAAAATTTAGAAATCAATTTTTTGATAACTGTCTTATCAAAATATATTAATTTTTTATCAATAATATAAAAGAACCTAAATTTTAATATATAATTTTTTAAGAATTTTTGGTTATGTAAATTATTAATATATGAATTATTTTTTAATAATTTTCAAGTTAAAAAAATCTGTAAAAAAATAATTTCTAAAATTTGATTCTTATCTAAATTTTGTTCTAGCAATTATAAAAACCTAAAAAAATTTAGAGGATCAAGAATTATAATAAACTATTTGTCCTAATATTTTAAAACAATTTGACTTAGATTTGAATTTTTAATGAGGTGTTGGATACTTATAACTGCTACTTTATATAAATAAAAAGTTTGTTACTCAAAAATAAAAATTTCAGAAAAAAATAGAATTTTTAAAAAATCAGCTTCAAAATCTAAATCTTATTGTTGTAATATTTTTAAAATCTGAGTAATTTATAAAATTTATATCATTTGAAACATTTGTAATATCAATAGAACTTTTAAAATCTAATTATGAAAATATCAAAAATAAAAGTATCAATGATTTTGAAAATGTTAATGCCAAAGATTATAAAAATGTTAAAGATTAATTAAGTTTATAAAAACAAAAGTTTTTATTAATTAGAGATATAAAGAGTAAAAGCAAAGCAGTTTATAAGTCAGATTTAAGAAATATAAGAGATAAAATAAAGATTCTTATAAAGACAATCTCTCAAGAATATAA